TAATCAAAATCTGACGATCCATTTTTACAATGTCTGCTCTGAAGGCAATTTTATGCGTTCGAAATCTGCAAATAATATCAAATAGTTCTTCTTCAAATAACACTCCATTCAACAGAATATCGTTTAACGAAATTTCAGTAGTCGCAGGAGCAGTGGCATCGAACACTACCCTAAGTTTAGTGCTAGGTTTATCGGGCCTGAAACCCCATGATAAGGAAGATAATATGAGAAACTAGAGCTATCCCCTTTAGCAATTTCTTCGGAATGGCCTAATTTATTATATTCCTTAATGAAATCTTCGTACAAGGGTTTCATTGCGAGTGAAGCATTTAAGTAAAGAATTCAATCTTTTACTAGCGTTTTTCCGCGATTCGCCTAAAAGGATAAGCTCTTTCTCCTTAATTGACATTTTCACTACAAATCTGCCGTCATCTTGCCTCCTGTGTGTACGAAGAAAATGCTGTTCATAAAATTTCTCTTCCTGACTCTTCACTATTTTTGCTTCATTAATACCTTCAATCTCCCGAAACCTTCTCATATTGTCAGATAAATGATCCACAGTTTCAACAAACCCACAATAATTATCAACACTGCCTTGCTGCGGCATGCGTATTGACCCGCTAACGATGTGTCCAAAAACTGACTGATGGAGAATCAAGTCCTGCATATTTATTCTATTTGTTCCCAGTAAATCAAAAAATACTTCGTTAGATAGTAAAACATGTATTTGACCAGGTTTATAAAACTCTGGATCAGCTAAAACAATGGGTTGCAACTGCTTAAGATCAGGAATGTTTAGATATCTAGCAGGCGTTACGCGAGTTATTTTTGGAACAACAAAAAATTGTAAGTTACAAATAAAATTTCTAGTAGCGTTAGCCATGGTTGCTATAGCGTTTTCCTTAACACTCATAACTGTACCATTGATACCTGAAATAGAAGCATTTATTTTTCTTTTCTTCAAATTCAATAATTCAGCACATTCTTTAGTAATGAAATTATTTTGAGAACCAGAATCAAGCAAGGCTCTCAGCGAAATAAATTTTCCATCATCACCTTTAACAAAAATAATTGCAGTTGAAAGTAGAACTTGTTTATTAAAAGAACTAAAAATATTCTGTGCAGTATTGTTAATGAACTTTGCTTCGTTGGTTTCATTAGTGTCACTAACCTTTTGGCTGCTTGCTAATGGAGTAAATGTATCAGCATTTAGAGAAAAATTACTGCTAAATTTATTAGTCTTACTTGTGTTTTGATTCGATGGGCCATTTGCTCGATCGAAATTTTTTTCACTTCGTTCAAAATGTAAGAGGGAATTGTGAAATTTCTGACATTTTCTGCATGTATTAGAACTTTTACAGTTCTTGATTGTGTGAACCGATGATAAAAATTGAAACACATTTTTTTTTTTTTTTTTTTTTTTGTCTTTACAAATTCAAATCGTTTCTTGACTGTTAAATTTAAGAATTACACACATTTCAAAAATAAATTATCACCTTTACAATAAGGACGATTTTTTGAATTTTCCGAAAGTGATGTAAGAGCTTTGGTATTAAATGAACTTTTCGATTCCCCATGCGGAGGTTGTAATGTGATAAGGTGCGAGCGTGTTCCTTCAAAAAAACATGTCAGTTGTTTAACTGTTCCTAGTTCGTCTTTTCTAAGTGATCTTTCCCACCAACACCGAGTATTTATATCCAACCTTTCAACTAATAAATAAATAAATTAACGTGTCTCAAAATTCTTCCACCTTTTGCTCCAATGCTTCCAAGGATCGTAAACATTCATGCATCTTATCGATAAATAATTAGGAACATAAAACAATTACACAAACAATTATAAAAATTACAAAAAACCCTTTACTATTTAATTTGTAATATTTGCAATCAAAAAGCATTTTTTACTTTACAATTAATCATTATAATTTATTATTATTTTCTGCAATTTCACACTAGCAGGCAAGCCATCTTTAAAACTGCTTCCTGCATAGTGCAGCTATCTGGTGGTGAGATAATGAAGTGAAAGTTGTTCTAACATCAGTCCCTCACCAGTAACGAAGTTACGATACATAAATTGCCATGACGGCAATAGCATAACATGATCATTATACCTCATGATCAATATTTAACTTCACATAGGAAACATAAAGGAAGCAATTCCTAAACTTTGTATCAGGTTTTTCAAAGTAATGTCGTAGAAAATCAAAGTACAAATTACAATTAAAATATCATGAATTTCAAGATCTATGATTGGAGTTTGTTCCATGCTGGAAAACATTTGTATATACCACATTCAATACTCTATACATTTCATTCTACTTTATTGTACCACAATAAATAAATATATACCCCACATATGGACTTAAATGAACTATTCAATGTGTTACGCTTTGAGTGACATGAAATAGTTAACAGCAATGAAGAGATATGATCAGTATTATCAAAATATTCATATTGCAATAGTAGACATAATAAATATTGAATGCACATTTCTTCTTATTCTTTTCACTCATGACTTTGACTATCAATGCAACTATTTCTGGAAACACATATTTTAACTTTGTTACATAAAATGAAATATATGAATGTAATTGATGATGTATTCCAGTAATAACTTCGTATTCCAATACAAAGTTATTACTAGAATCTAAACAAACACAATACTGAATGCAAACTATTTCAAATATACATATGTTCCATATTAAAAAAAATATAATAATTAACTAGTTACATACCCCTTTCGAAGAAAGAAATCATTCCCATTCAATATACATATTAATAATTACTTCCAAAGATTATAAATATTTGATGCATTTGATCACAAAGTCGAATGAGGCAATACTACGCAGAAAATGAAATATATAGTATTCAATTATGTAGAATTACTAATAGCACATAAAAATTTATACTGTTACTAAGAAACTGAAATAAATACACATACTTGGCAGTCTATCACTTCATATAGATTATCAACTCTAAACCTATGCAATCACTCCACTTATTTATACCACATGCAAAATATCAGAAATAATATATATATATAAGAGTAGTAACTAAAGGAATATTATGACTCAGAGTCTGAATCTCACAGGAAGGTGTATTCGTCTCCCCGAACGAGATTTTGTTGGAAGCCTTGCCTCTTTACTTTGGGAGGTGGGTTTAATAACTGATGGGTTGTTATCAGTAATGCTTAGGTTGGAATCTGCAGGCATATTCTCTGTATTTAAGGTACACGCAGGTTTAAGTCTATCTACAGAGAAATTTTCACTGGTTTTCCTTTAATTGACAGAGAAAAATATTTGTCCTACCTGTCCAGAACTGGAAGTGGTCCCTTAAAGGCTGGTTCAAGTGGGTTCTTGATTCTATCCACTCGGATAAACACTTGTGTACAAGAATCCAAATCTTTGTGCACAAACACTTTCCTGTTGTGGTGCACTTTGCATTTTCACTGATTTTGAGTAGTGCCATGTGTTTTCAATTTACTCACAAAGCTATCAGGCTTTATTTCACAAGTTGGCGGGTCAAAAAATTCACCTGGAATCCTTATGTTGGTTCCATGCACCATTTGAGCAAGAGAATGGTTACCATCCTCTATAATACCTACTCTGAGGCCAAGAAGCACTGTAGGTAGAACATCAGTCCATTTGATGGAGTTGTGAGCTTTAATTGCAGATTTTAGGGTTTTATGTAAACGCTCTATTTTTCCATTACACTGTAGATGATAGGGTGTGGCGTGGCAAATCTTTGCACCACATATAACAGCCAAATTTTGAAACAGTTGTGATGTAAATTGTCTCCCTTGGTCTGTCACAATTCTGTTTGGAACTCCAAATCTGCATATCCAGTTTTCATAAAATGCTTTGCTAGCTAATTCTGCTGTAATGTCTTCCAATGGAATTACCTCAACCCAAGAAGAAAATCTGTCGATACATGTAAGGCAGTAAATTTTTCCATTTGAGGGAGGCAATGGTCCTATTAAATCGATATGGACCACACTGAATCTGGAGTTTGCTTCTTGGTATTCTCCCAACTTTGACTTTGTGTCCCTGGTCACCTTGACTCTCTGACAGCTAACAGAACACTTGGCCCATTCACTTGAATCTTTCTTGATATTTGGCCATACGAACCTGGCAGTTATCTGCTTAACTGTAGATTTGATGCCGGGGTGCGAGAGACCATGTTATATGCTGGAATATCTTTCTTCGAGATGGTTTAGGTATGTAAGGACGAATCTTGTCTTGGGAGGTATCACACCATAAGATGTGTCCAGAAGGGAGCTTACAGCTTTTGAAAATCAATGAGTCACTCCATCAATTACTTTCTCAGCTCTTCATCCTGACCTTGCTCCAGTGCAGTTTTTTTTTATTGTCGATAACAGCAATCTCTTCAACTCGAGACAGGGTATCTGCCACAATATTCTTTTTGCCTATAATGTGCTGGATGTTAGTGGTAAACTGAGAGATGTACTAAAGTTATCTCAATTGCCTTAGTGATGCTTTTTCATTATTATGCTTAAAAGCAAAAATAAGAGGTTTATGATGAGTAAAGATTGTAAATTCTCTACCTTCTAACAAATATTTAAACTGTTTTATGGAGAGATATATTGCTAGTAATTCTCGGTCATAAGTGCTGTATGCCCTCTGTGCTTCATTTAATTTCTTAGAATAGAAAGCGATGGGTTTCCAGCTTCCTTCATCCAATTGTTGGAGTACTGACCCTATTGCCCAGTTTGAGGCATCTGTACACAAAGATAATAGGCAACCAGGTTTGGGAAATGTTAACAAAGCACTGTTAGCTAAATCTGTTTTGCACTTTTCGAACAGCAATTTAGCTTCTTCTAATTGGAACTTTTTGTTTATCCTTCTTCTTAGCAATTTGAGCATATCGTGGAGAATGGCTTGTGTTTCTGCTGCATTTTTAAGATATCTGCGGTAGAAATTTATGATACTTAGGAAAGTACGTAGGTCATGAATTGTTGTGCAATTTTATCAGCCATTGTTGCTAATTTTTCCAGACTTTCAGGATATTTTTGACTGTGTCAGACAACTTTTCCATCCATAGAGTGCGTAACACTTTCTCAGATACATCGTTATTATCGCCAAGTGTTCTCATCTTTCGCAGCATTTGACTTGGCTTCATATCGCCAAGTTCTAAACCAGCCAATAATCTTTTAATGCGCTTATTTTCACTCTCTTTAAATAAGTTTGTTAGCCTTTCTTTTGCTGCTGAATATTTCGTTGCAGTTTCATCTTTGATAATGTCCCATATATTTTTTACAAACTTAGGATCCAGCTGAGCTACTAAGTAGTTAAATTTAGTTTCTTGTGATGTAATTCCTGCAATTTTAAATTTGGCTTCAACAGTATAGAACCATATCTCTGGTCTATCAATCCAGAATGGGGGAATTTTTACACTCACTATGCTTGCTTCCAGCTGCACACCACTGCTGTTAATATGTGTATTAGGCATTTTTACGCTTCACCTTCTTATACCCAAGAAAACATTCATAACATTCAAAAGAAAATCAATAATCACAAGATCCTGGTTTTGAAAAGTTTAGCACATTGTCCGGATACATTAAAATAGCAGAAAGTCTGTTCTACACTGGAAAATTATGTCGCTGCATTAAGATTATGCACATTGCAGTGTCCTGCACACTAGGGTCACCAAATGTTCGGGTTATCAATGTGCATGTCCGGAGAGAAATTATTTTAGTGAGTAAACCAATATTGATAATGATCCTGATACAGTAAAATAAATCAGCGAAAACTAAATTAAATAATGCAAGAGTTTTATTGACACAAATTCCACACTCACACAGTCCAACACATGGTTCACAACTCAGAGACAGACAGACTCTCTCTTCAGTTCAAAGTTGCAGTTGAATTGCAGTTAAAACACAGAGTGAAAAATTAGGAACTTAAAACAATTAAACAAGCAATTAGAAAAATTACAAAAACAATTTATAAATTAGTTTGTAATATTTACAAACAAACAGTATTCTTTACTTTACAATTAATCATTACTTTATAATTTAGTATTATTTTCTACAATTTCACGCTAGCATCTTTGAAACTGCTTCCTGCATAGTAGTGCCATCTGGTGGTGAGATAATAAAGTGAAACTTCTTCTAACAATTCGTATAACTCTAATAAGAAAATATCCGCTTCATCCACTGTTTTATTTACTATATTTTTAAGCTTTGTTATACTGTATTTTAAGCTCTTTTTGTTAGCTTTAATCGGTTTCAATTCACTTATCATGAACAAATAAATAATTTATCACTTACCATGGTTGCAGATTTGTAGACAACAACACCGGAAGTGAACGATGACACAGTATCCAACCTTAATTGCGTAATCCAAACATTGCATTCTAAACACTCTATATGAAGTTATGCGTAATGCAAACAAAACGAAAGTATTCCAGATTTTCTAAAAAGTTAATTTTAGCGACGATAACTTTTACCTGTGGCTCGGCGGGTCATTAAATGTTCATGGGGTGCGTGCATTGATATACAAATAATCCAATCTTAACGAAATGGACTATATTAATTAATATTTTATTATACAACCTTAATCACATGCGTGCCATCTTTCAAACGATGGCTTACTACTAACAACGACAGCAATAAAAAAACTGAGCGAGCGTTTACAGGGTTACTGTAATGAACATTTGCGCCATGCAAGCCGCCAAGAAGAGAAGAAAAAGCGTTATCTTATAGCTAAACTTGTAGAGACATTAGGATATTTTTGGAAGCAGGAGAGATGAAAAATTAGCAACCGCCTTCTCCGGGAATCGAACCACGGACCTCTGATATATTGGCCCAGCGTGTAGAACCACTACACTATGAAGGCACGCTAGAAAGGCGGTAGAAATACCTTGTAAACTGTCCTAATGACTGAACAAGGACTTATAGACTTCATTGCAAAAAAGAAGGGCGAAGGAAACTTCGAAATTCTTACTAAGAATTCTGACACCTTCAGGAAGATGACGACGCTATTTGATTTTCACGAGTTGTCATATCACTCCTTCCTTCTGCCTGAGGAGAAAAATATTAAGGTGGTGATACGCAATCTGCTCATAAATACATGACCCTGTTGACATGCAAGAAAAACTCAGGGAAAAAGACTTTGACGCTATTAAAGTGAAACAGCTTACGAAGGGTAGAGGTCCTGATAGGTGTATGATGCTCCTATTCTTGTTTACCCTACCCGAGAAGCCGAGAAATTCAAAAATATTTCATCTACCGTAGTCGTTGAGGGCCGACTCAATGTTTCAGGTGCCAGCGATTTCATCATGTGCAGGCGACGTGTCACCAACCGCCTCGTTTCCCAAATGCGCCGGACATCACGAAAGCCGGGACTACCCGGAACCTAAAGAATCTGAACCCAAGTGCTGTAATTAGCTCGAACTGGCACACCGAAAAGAACGCGAGTCATTCTATAATATTTTAAATTGTAATTATTATCAAAGTATAAAAGCCGTAATAAATCTCTATCAATTTCAGAAATTCCAATCTGGAGAAAGGCCTTTTCAACATCTGCTGAGAAAGCATGTTTGTATTGTCTGAACCTCAATATCCAGTCCAAAACACAAGGATTCAAATTTGGGCCAGGCATCAAACAATTGTTCAGAGATACCCCATTGTTACACTTCGAAGGTGCGTCAAACACGATACGGACTTTCGTTTTTGATAAATATTTTCTTACCATTGGAGAATGTGACGTGTAATACATTTTATTTATTGTCACGACTTTTAATTTCGCACTCTTGAATTATTTAATTTTTTAATTGTTCGTTTATTATGCTATCATAATTTTCCCTAAGCCAGTCATCAATTTAGTTTATTAACCAAAGATACTAGACGTCGCTTGGCATTTTCTAAATTATTACCCAAGTTTTCATGATGTGATTTCCATAACAAACGAGCTACATATTAGAAAAATGCAATTCTTTTTCAAATTTCTCAGTGACTGATTTATCATCAGGATTCTCCTTCTCCTCTAAACCCAAGTGGTCCAAAGTCCAAAACCTTGGCAAACAGTCATTAACTAAATTATTATCTTCCTTCAAGCAATGAGAAGCACCAGCTGTAAACATACAGGCGCTGGACGGATCACCTTCCAAAGGTCCAACCAAGGACAAACCAAATCTAGAAAGATACCGCAAATAATTTATTACTTACTCTTTTCTTTTCTCCTGTTTGCACTTCCCAACATGAATCAGATCCTAATATTTTTATTTCAGCTGCTTCACCATTATCGGCTAATTTTAAATTTTCTAATTTTAATATTTCTAAAATGTTTTTAGAGGGAATTTTTACGATCGCTACAGAAATAGAACCTATAACAAGAGCTTCAAAAGTGATTGAGTCATTAGGGCAGTATATCTTTTTAGGGCAATTTGAACAACATTATATTCCATTAGTCTACCCTGGATATACTCAAAAAAATAAATATATAACTTTTCTTTCCTTAATTTTGGTTTAGCCAAATCAGATGTAATAAATGATCTCTGCGATCCACCATCAATTAGGATTTTTATTATTTGGCTTCTAGTATTATCTGTATCTGAAGCGTAAACAGTGCAAGTTTGTAAATATACACCTTTATCAGCAGTTCCAGAAATAGTCTTAGAGTTACACGACAGGGATGCAACTACATTCTCCTTAGAATCTGATACTGTAACTACTTTCTGTTTAGCATCTGTATCCACCTCGGGAACAATATTGTTACAAAATAACTTAATATGATTTAAGCCATTACACAATTCACAGGTTCACTTTACATCTGGACGATACATGACCTTTCTTAGAACACATATAACAACGTCCATGGTTTTTTTAATATCGCTCTTTTTTTTGCTTATTTGTTTTCTCCCATTTTCCTACATCATGTGTATTTTGATTACAATAGAAACAAACAGTACGGCTTAGTCACTGTGGCTAACGCCGAAGTAGTAGGAACTCTTGCTCCTTTTAAGCAATTATTTTTATTCTGCTTAACACCGTAATTTGTGTCTCTTTTCTTTAAGTTTATTATTAAATTAGAAGCTCCCGGACTCTCAACTTCCAGTCTAATGAATTCGAGAAGTTCTGTTTGGCTATATTGCTGTTTAGAGTTTCTTTTTCTATTAAACTCCAGATTCATATCGTCTTTCAGATTCATATCGTCTCCAGATTCATATCGTCTAAAAGCTTTAAAATAACAGGTCCTAAAATAGTCCCATAAGCTTCCGACACAATACCTAATGAATTTAAACTTCTTATATTGATTTCACAGGAATCGTAAAGTGTTCTTAGTGCTTTCACACTGGACGAACTATATTTAGGATTTAAATCCTACTAATTGTATTCTGATTAATTAAAAGAATGGAGGAGGAACATCTCTCCTTGCGAGATACTTCTAACAAACCCGAACCACAATTAAAGTATCTTAATGATATTAAGAAAAATATTCAAATACTTTCTTATTTTCAGAAAGAATCGCCGACAAATAGCCTCAATGATCAAAATAACACCATGGAAGCAAATCAAATTACAGAATCTTCTAGCTCAAAATCTAAGAAAAAGAAAAACTTAACTGATAACGAAGGCTTTATTACACCGTGTATCACGCATAAGCGAACACTCTCAAATTCTGAAATCAGTGAATCTGCCCAAAAAAACAAGTTCCAGGAGTTAAACCCTGAAGATAACATGGACTCTTCTAATACAGATGAAGGAGAATTTATATTACCTACTAAAACTGCAGGACACATTCCCCCTATAGTCTAACTGTCCTAGCCCTATAGTCCTAGTCCTTACGTTAGTGCCGACTGGGATATAAACTTAAGGATGACATAGAAGAAAAACTAAACATAAAGAAATTCCGTGGAAATCTTTCCGGAGGAGCACTCACTATTCGAGTTTATGACTCAATCCATTACAGGAGTCTAACACCGTATTTAGATGATCTCAAAGTTCCCTATCACACCTTCGAGTTAAATATTGAAAAACCCATCAAAGCAATAATTAAAGCGCTTCCTAAAACCGCAAATATAGAAGCATACAAGAATGATCTAAAAAACCAAGGAATCCCTGTTCTAAAAATACGACAGATTACACATGTAATAGAAGGAAATATAGTTCAACTACTTGTATATGCTAATAATTTGGATTTGACGGAATTATAGAGCCTAGATGTCATCGGTATAAGATGTCCTGCAGAAGTAAAGTCAAAGCAGGTAACCGATGAAGAAACGGTAGATTTTTTCCGTAAAACTATTAAAAGAAACGAAGACAAAAGATATGAAGTATGTTTGCCATGGAAAAGTAGACGTCCAGAATTAGAAAACGAATAAGGAATTAGCCACTAAACGGTTAATGTCAACTACCAAAAATCTCATTACGATCTGGACATTTAAGAGAATACGATGACGTGTTTAATGAGTGGTGTTCAGGATGGAATTATTGAATATTGTAGATA